AGAAGCCATAGGCACAAAGCATACATGTTGGAGGGAATGAAAATTGAGTTTGTCTGTTCCTAGCAGGCAGCGGAAGATTCTCTCGCACCTGTAGCTCAAGAGGGGAACACACAGTCTACCAGTTCTGCAAAGCTGCAGAAAATGATCTCATGGCCAGTGCCCTCAGCTGAAGCTGACCTTCTCCATGTGAGTAAAACGTTGTTGCGGCATAGCAAGCAGGGTAGACACAGTTGATCAGGGGTCTTTACAGTTGAAGATCATTATATGGCTGCATAGGAACCCTGGTGGCATAGTGGGTTATTTGTTGGTGTGCCGTCAGCAGTTTGTAAACACCAGCTGTTACAGGTAAAAAGATGAAGCATTCTTCTATTGTACATATTTAGTCTTGGAAACCCAGAGGCAGTCAGTCCTACACTGCCCTGCAGTGTTGCTCTGAGTTGGAATCAACTGAATAGCAGTGAGTTAGGTTTTGGTATTTAGCTGGGTAAGATTATATTTTATTTCCTTATCTTACTTAAATATGTTAACTCTAGTATCTTCTGGCATATAGTGTTATGTCCACTTATATAGAAATCTAATGTTTGCATCTTAATAATAGACTTGGCCTTTTTTTGCCTCAATAGTCCAAGGACTTTTTTCATTAAGTTCTTATGTTATTTGGGTATTAATCTCATTAATTCTTTTTTCTCTTATATTACCTTACATGGAATATGGTCATGATCTTGCCCTGTTGTTTACATGTAAGAGAGGGAATAGGCTAGGAAAGTTTCATGGCACTAGTGTTCTCTTCTGTTGTTAATATGAAGTAGTAAAAAATATGGTCTAATATCTTCTGAAATATGCCCCATCCCATTGTTTTCAAATGAAGAACACAGCTTTATGCTTATTTTTAGCACACATGGAACCTTTATAAAAGTTGACCAGTTTTTGTGCCTTAAAGTACCTTTCAGTAAGGTATGGGGATTAGTGTAGTATAGACTGTATTTTCTGGTTCCAAAGAATTTAAGGTAGAAATCATTAAAATATACATAAAGAATGTTTGAAATAAGAAGTACCCTTTCCCTCAAAACTCAGGAGTCAAAGACAAAAATCACAATAAAAATATTTTATTGAAAATATTTTAGTTATGATAATAAAGAATTCAATATAAAATACTGGGGTATAGGTAGCTAAATCAGGACATAGAGAAAAAAGTATAACTTTAATTTTATAAAAGGAGAATACTAGGAATGAATGAGCTAAACATTGTTTTTTTTTTAAGGACAGAAATACAAATGAAAAAAGAGTCACTACTTCAAAAATACAAATAATATGGATATAATGTTGGTAATCTTCCCCCATTTTTATCTAATCATTTCCTTCCTTGGCCTCTAGTATGCCTGTTCTCTCAGTTTGATACTACTCTTAGCAGTTAACTCCTTAGTGTGGGACTCTGTCCTAAAAGAAAGATTTAATAGTATTAGGAGTTCATCAGAAGCAGACCATCTCAGCACCATTCCAGTGTACTTCTTGTATCCACCTGTGACTTATAGCTAGTAAAGCCCTCTCCCAGTTTCTGTTGTTTTTCTTAAGTAAGCCCATGAACTTCCCATGTGAAGTAGGGACCTCCATCTCTTATGGTTATGTTTTTTGGAAGTCTCTTTATCAGCGCTTTGTTCCTTTCTTCTAATGACTGATACTATATTAGTTTTGATGCTATCTGTGGCTTTATCCTAGTCCTATATTTTGGAGGTTTACGGAGATAATTTTCTCCTTCTCTTTTTGTAGAGGTAGCCTGTAGATTTTGGGGTTTGCTACACTATTTGCTTGTCTGTTTTTAAAATCATTTTATTGGGGGCAAGTACAACTCTTATCACCGCTTGTCTGTTTTTATGAGGGAAATTCAGAGTTTAAAAAACTACCCTACGGGGGCTCTCCCCATGAGGACCACCAAGCGGGGCTGAGGGTCTGCTCCACACTCACCCTCATGTAATGATCGCTGAAGAAAAGGGTGCTACAATAAAGTGTGGTGAAGAAAGAAAATGGTGCTCAGCTATCAATTGGAATGGGGCCTGGGGTCTTAAAGACTTGAGTTCAAACAAGCATCCATCTAAGCAAGGAGTCAATTACGGAAGAAGAAGGCATGAAAGTATCCACCGGCAGGAGGAGCAGTTCTGCACTGGGCACGGGGACCACCAGGAATCAGCAACAACTGATGGTTGAAAATTAAGATTGCACGTAAAGAATATATATCATCTCACTTCCCTTCTCCCTGGTGAAAGACTGCCTCAATATGTGCACTGCATGCATTTTTCCATAGTAAGAAGCTATATTGAACTGTTTACCCCCCAAGCACTATGCTGGCAAGACAAAGATGCTAACTGCTCTTAAGCTCTTCAAAAGGTCTGTCTAAATAAGATATGCTAGATGAACAATCTGGAGGAGAAAACAACGGGACCGACAGTTCTAACGGGACATGGGAGAGGGGGAGGTGGGGGGGAAAGTAGTAGTGTTAACAAACCCAGGGACAAGGTAACAAGTGATCCAAATTGAGGAGGGTGTGGGAGGCCTGGTAGGGCATGATCAAGGTTAATGTAACCAAGAGGAATTACTGAAACCCAAATGAAGACTGAGCATGATAATGGGACAAGAGGAAAGTCAAAGGAGAGGAAGGGCTATGAGGCAAAGGGCATTTATAGAAATCTAAATAAAGGCATGTACATATGCA